TACAGAATCGAAATAAAGACGAATGCCCATTTGTGGGCTATGTTTTTCCATTGCCTCAAGGTGATACCAATATTAAAATTATTTTTATATTTAATCCTTGCTGTTTCGCCATATGAAAGTGTTTATAAAACGGGTAATTTTTTTTTTTTTTTCTATGATGGGCTTACTTGACCCCAATCTTACCCTAGAGCAGAGATGTGATCTACGGTGGAGCGAGCTTGCCCAGAAGATGCCTATTCACTCTAGACTTAAAGAGATTCAGGTTATATGCACTCGGAAATACAGACGCAGGCAGGGAATTCCATTCTTTAGCAGTGCGCATAATGAAAGATGATTTGAAGCGCTTAGTGCGTAATGTGGGTATATCAACTAAGAACGGATGGTAGCCGGCCGTGCGTCTGGATGTCCGATGGAAGAAAGGAGACGGTGGTATGAGCTCATGCAGCTCACGCGCACACTCTCCGAAGTACAATCTGTAGAAGACCGATAGGCAAGCAACCTTGCGGCGGTGAGCCAGGCTGTGAAGCTTGGTCGCCACCAGTTTTATCACCTATTAATCTCTTGGCTCTGCGTTCCACCGAATCCAGTGCAGCAAGTTGGTATTTAGCCGAGCCATCCCAAAGGTGACAGCAGTACTCCATGCAAGATCGGACTTGAGCTTTATAAAGAGTTAGAAGCTGTTCAGGCGTGAAGTACCGCTTGACTTTATTCAGGACGCCCAACTTTCTAGCTGCAATTTGAGCCTTGGACTCGATGGTGGTGCCAGTTGAGGTCAGAGGAAAGCTCCATGCCAAGGAGTTGAAGAGTGTTGGTCACTGGAACAGATGTACCCGAAAAGTAGGAGAAAGGTGAAAGGACTTTTTGCGGAGAAAAGACACGCCTGCGTTTTTGAAGCATTGAAGCTGACGAGATTGTCATCGCCCCACTGGGAGACGTTACTTAACGTCAGGCTCGTACGCTCAATCATAGCCTTTCTCAATCTTTGGATTTCATCACCACTGGCTCCTGCGCCGGACAGATATTTCTCGGTGACAGTACTGTCATCTGCGTACCCAACAATTCCTGAAGATAGAAGGTCATTGATGTGCAGCAGGAAAAGCGTCGCGGAGAGTACAGACCCCTGAGGAACTCCGGCGTCAATAGCCTTGAGGTCAGAGGAGCAGCCGTCTATGACCACTCGGATCGACCGTTCACTCAGGAAGTCAGCCACCCAGCTACAGAATTTAATTTTATTTATTACTAAATCTTGTATTGATTGTTCATGAAACTAGGAAATCAACCAAATACGCGCTAGAAAGCACAAGGAGTTTTATTATCTAAGCAACTCATATAATCAGCCAAGTAATATAATGTACCTATTTGACCAGATTCTTTTTGGTTACAAAATGACACAAAAATGACGTGAATTATCTGTCTGTTTCTGGTTGACGTTTGACGGTTTGTTTTTTGAATCACATTCCTTGTCATAAGTCATTAATCATAAAATAATATTTCAATTTGTATATTTATTTCAATTGACCAATTTTTTACGAAAATACTACAAATGTTACCATTATGGTCTTGCCAAACAAGTTTGTTGAGAGTTTATTTAGTTAAGTTCATGTTTCACATAAAAACACTCTACATCTCTCATGGATACCTCCAAATCAGGTAATTACCTCTGTTAGATCAGTGATGGCTATGAAAGGGGTGGAATCAGAGAATGGGCGGCAATATTCCCCGTAAATTACGTTGAGCTCGCCAATCCGCCTGCCAAGCGTGGTGTGGTGAGTATGGAAAGATTATGGAAAGTAACCTTCCCCAAATTGCTGTGTTCGGAGACGCAATTGATTCTGGATGTTTATACCTACCGTATTGATCTAAATATTTCTAGCAATCATGTGCTGCCAGGCCTGCCGCATAATCAAGGCACCCGCATGATTAATAATGTTAAAGAGAGATAATAATTATTTTGTTTATGCATTTTAGGTCTCAAGGATGGAACATATACTAAATGCAGCTTTTTATAATAGTGCTGCAACAAGGAAAACGATACGACATAGGTACTGCTATGAGGCTATGACATGGTTGTGTGACGACCGCCGCCGTCTGAGCCCGGAACCTTTACACCGCAGTCAGTTGCACTACCACCTGCATCATATCAATCAACCAACAAGTAGCAATAAAATAAAACTTTTTTTTTGCATTATTGTATTTTACTTGCTATCCTATTTACCCAGCAGTTAGGAGGTGAATAGAAGGTAATGAAATAAAGAGCCCTTTTACACCAGAGATTTTGCTCCGGCGATTTTTCGGTGGAGAGCGATCGCGACGAGGACGCGACGGTTTGCGGCGACTAGCGGCATACACGCAGCTATACCGGGAGTAACAGAAAGGGTATAACAAGCCGAAAGGAGGTCAAGGTACTCATGAAACTGAACAACTTTCCCCATGAAACATGGGTCGATATATGAAGAAAATATTTGGACCTCCCATACAAAATCGCAGATCAGCTGATTGATTTACTCTGAGAGGTCCAAATTTTTTTTCATATTTCGTCTCATGTTCCATGGGGAAAGTTGTTCAGTTTCATGAGTACCTTGACCTCCTTTCGGCTTGTTATACCCTTTCTGTTACTCCCGGTATATCACTGCATTATGCGTTGTCGCTGTAAATACAAAGTGGGATGGTTGGTATTTAATTCACAAAATGGACTCTTATGACAAGCACGCGGTGGTTACGTGGCGATTGAAAAATCGCGATGACAACGCTGCGTACATGCTGCGATGCGAGCTGTCGCCCGTTCGTTGCGATCACGTTCAGTCGAGTAACAGCCTGAAAAAAATCGCCTGTGTGAAAGGGTTCGTAGACACGTAGTGCTCGTCACTTAGGCTCAGAAAAGAATTCTGCAAGTGCCGTATTTTGGAAATGCAAGTGTTAAATGTCAAAGTGTTAAATTATGAGATCAATCTGTTTTTAGGTTATGTATTATTTTTATAAATAACTTTATATCCCGGGTTTTTATAGAAAAGAAAAACTGGAGGTAAATAAGTGGTTATTTATTGTCCATTTAGAACTACTTCAGCTTTGAGGCATTTTAGACGGGAGCCCTTTGCCCCGTGGGCAATATTCTTTGTAATTATTTTCTTGAAATGATGAACCGCGTAGGGGTCCTGAAACCAGGGAGTCCATGTGCCCTGGGGTCGGCCTCGCGCTGCGGACGCGCTGATCGCGACGTACCGCAGTGCGGGTCGTCTGAGGATACGCTAGCTGATCAAGAAAGTACGCTAATGAAATCTGTAGCACGGGCACTACTCTGGGGTCTTTTGATGCAAACGTTTTTAGTAGCACATTGAAAATGAACTATATCATGCGTGATCAGATCATGAATGAATAAAGTCGGTAGCTGACGTGATTCAAAATTCAAAAAACTTTCGTCTTTATTTCAATTAAAATTTAGTACACTTTTATCAACTACTATAGTTGAGACGGCCACTGGCTGCATTCGCCGCCGTATGGCTGTTGTATGACGCTCTCTTTCCTACATAAGTTTACCACCAAGTAGGAAAAAGAGCGCCACACTACCGTCATACGACGGCGAATACATCAAGTTGCCGTCAACTATAAAAACGTCTAGACATACCGTTGTCGAGACATACTGGCTACGATATACCGGTTGCTGCAGCTTTGATCGGCTGGCCAAAATCTAGCAAAACGACACAACTGATAAACAAGCCTCTAAGCTCGCTTATACCACTTGTAACAATCTGTTCTAGGTGCAACTGGATCTGACTGGAATATTCATGCACGGCAAGATCCCCACGCTGAAGATCTCGCTCATCCAGATCTTCAGGGCTCACTTGTGGCAGAAAGTCCACGAGTCCATTGTCATGGACTTGTGTCAGGTATTTATTATCCTCCTTGATTTTAAAATCTCTTTTCAATTTATCTATTTAATTACTTGAAATTCAGTTGCGAATGTTCCTTTTTAATTCGGTCGGGCGTAGTGTCCAATTCGCAAAATCGAAACGGACTATTTCGTAAATAGTCCAGACCTAAAAATCGAAGGCTGTGTATAGAGAGTACCCCATCCCATCATTCTCTTCCGTCATTGTAACAGATCATCCTCATCCTCGTCACCATTATGATAATGTTCCCCATTATGCACCGCCTTGACTTTGAGTCAAAGTCAAATAATTTATTTTGTGTCTGTGGAATTTACAAGATTCTCTTTGAGAAAGTCACATTCTAATTCATAACAATTTGTGTTCCTACTCTAAACTTCGATTTTTAAGACTGGACCATTTTCGAACTGGGCCACTGGGACGTTTGCTAATTGGACACAAAGCGTCCGACTGTTTTAGAAGGCTGAAAAATTTCTTATTTATCTTACTTTCATGATTAGGTGAAAACCTACCTAACCTAGAAGTCTTGTCTGACCAATCATTTTTGGAGATGATTTTCATAGGCTCAAAAAAAAACCGACCTCCCATACAAAGTCAGTCAGCTGATCGTAAATTTTGTATTGGAGGTCGGAAATTTGTTTTCGTTTCCCACCATTGGCTCCATAGTAAAAGTTGTTCAGTTTCATGGTCTGAGCACGCCTGCAAAAATTTCGTTACACCGTCCCTAACACCCCGTATATGTGCGACTCGGACTTGGTGCGACTCGGACTATGTGCGACTCGGACTATTTGCGAATCGGACATTATTTTTGAAAAGGACATTATGCGAATCGGACATAATGCGTCAAGAGGATATTTATGAGAAGTTGTTGTATTTATTATTTTCTTCCTTTCCTAGGTATTCGATCAAGAGCTAGACGCGCTGGAGATTGAGACAGTGCAGAAGGAAACCATCCACCCGCGTAAATCGTACAAGATGAACTCGTCCTGTGCCGACATCCTGCTGTTCTCCGCTTACAAGTGGAACGTGTCCAGACCCTCGCTGCTCGCTGACACCAAGTAAGAGCTATCTTTCAAAAAAGTATACATTGAAAATGAGAAAATTGAAAAATTCTCCAGCAACCGCCGGGACTTGAACCCGAGAACGTAGGGTACCGTCCCACCGCTCTGCCAACTGAGCTACGGGCGCCTGGTAGACCCTGGTGAATTTCTCAACCTCTTGATGCTTGTCTCGGTCCCGGGTTCAAGTCCGGACTGTTGCTGGTGAATGTTTCAATTTTACCCAACTACCTCAGAAGGAGGGTTATGTTTTTCGAGAGTATGTATGTATGTGTACAATAATTCTTTTTCACGGGCTACAGCCCAAACGAATAGTTCGATTTTGACGTACGAGGTGTCGTTAGATTAGTCTCAGTTAAAATTTCATAAATTCAAGATGGCTGATTTTTATCGCAAAATACAACTTGCACTCGGGTTTTTGTTTTTAATACATCTGCTTGTTTTTATTTTTTATTGATTTTTGTAATCAAATCTCGATAATTTCATTAATTCCCAACAGAGACACAATGGACAACACAACAACTCAGAAGTACTGGCTGGACATCCAGCTGCGTTGGGGCGACTACGACTCGCACGACGTGGAGCGTTACGCGCGCGCCAAGTTCCTCGACTACACCACTGACAACATGTCCATATACCCCTCGCCCACCGGCCTGCTCATCGCCATCGACCTGGCATACAACCTGCACAGGTGTGTATGACTATACTATACAACACTAGTACTACATCCAGCTGCGTTGTTCCTCGACTACACCACTGACAACATGTCCATACCCTCGCCCACCGGCCTGCTCATCGCCATCGACCTGGCATACAACCTGCACAGGTGTGTATGACTATACTATACAACACTAGTACTACATCCAGCTGCGTTGTTCCTCGACTACACCACTGACAACATGTCCATATACCCCTCGCCCACCGGCCTGCTCATCGCCATCGACCTGGCATACAACCTGCACAGGTGTGTATGACTATACTATACAACACTAGTACTACATCCAGCTGCGTTGTTCCTCGACTACACCACTGACAACATGTCCATATACCCTCGCCCACCGGCCTGCTCATCGCCATCGACCTGGCATACAACCTGCACAGGTGTGTATGACTATACTATACAACACTAGTACTACATCCAGCTGCGTTGTTCCTCGACTACACCACTGACAACATGTCCATATACCCCTCGCCCACCGGCCTGCTCATCGCCATCGACCTGGCATACAACCTGCACAGGTGTGTATGACTATACTATACAACACTAGTACTACATCCAGCTGCCAAGTTCCTCGACTACACCACTGACAACATGTCCATATACCCCTCGCCCACCGGCCTGCTCATCGCCATCGACCTGGCATACAACCTGCACAGGTGTGTATGACTATACTATACAACACTAGTACTACATCCAGCTGCGTTGTTCCTCGACTACACCACTGACAACATGTCCATATACCCCTCGCCCACCGGCCTGCTCATCGCCATCGACCTGGCATACAACCTGCACAGGTGTGTATGACTATACTATACAACACTAGTACTACATCCAGCTGCGTTGTTCCTCGACTACACCACTGACAACATGTCCATATACCCCTCGCCCACCGGCCTGCTCATCGCCATCGACCTGGCATACAACCTGCACAGGTAAGGGGATTACTCTACTTATCGTTATAACCTTCTTTTTCGCATCAACGGATCATAATTTATAATATGTTTTGCCAAAATTTGGCGACCGCAGCGGCATTCTCTGTAGCCAATTCCTTCTCCTCCCTGCTGCAAGAGACTGGCAGAAAAGGGCACAGGACTGAGATAGGGCTCGACAGTGCGCAGTGCACTTGCGTTTTGTCGGTGAAGCCTAACTTCGCCATATTTTCTCAGCCATCATGCCTATTAACAGTATTAAGATGTCCACTGCTAGAAAGTAGTTCACCACGATTTTGAACCGGATGCATCTAATGCCATTTCGCGACTTTTACAAGTCCGTCCCTCTAGTCCGTCCATCCGTCCGTCGCTAGGAGGCGGTTCCACCACAAATTAGGGAAACGGCGCGCGGGGTTTTCCACCACTTTCATGCACACAAATCGTTGGTTTAACTGCTATATTCCGCCCACTGCCACTTCAGCTTGCTTCTACTTTATCTAGAGTTCTGCTATTATAATAACATAATATAATTTTCCATTTTATTTTAATTTTTCATGACTTCAATTTATTTTTTCTCGCGGTGTCGTTAAACGTGAGTAAGAAATTGATCCAGGGTATGGGCTGCATCATTTTCTTTATAACACAACCACTGTGTTCCTTCGCTCAGGTTCAAAAGTCGGATCACGTACGAGTCTACGCTATTGTGTTATGTTATTGCGTACTTATATTTCTATTTCTTCCTCAGCGCCTACGGCAACTGGTTCCCCGGCTGCAAGCCTCTCATCCAGCAAGCCATGGCCAAGATAATGAAGGCCAACCCTGCGCTGTACGTGCTGCGCGAGCGCATACGCAAGGCGCTGCAACTGTACTCCAGCGAGCCCACCGAGCCATACCTCTCCTCGCAGAACTACGGGGAGCTGTTCTCCAACCAAATCATCTGGTAAGTCATCATCAGGAAGCTAGAATTTACAATCGTTTAGAAGACAATCAATGATCTCCGTATAATCAATCCAAAGCGACAAAACAGTCGTCATATTGATCAATTGAGGCTCCAATAAAAAAAAAAGCGGCCAAGAGCGTGTCAGACACGCTCACAAATAGGGTTTCGTAGTCAGTCAACGTTTAAGTATCTTTCAGCGTTACAAAGTTAATTTTGTTGCTCGTTTGTTTGCAGCTGTTTCTAGTGGACTACGAAACCCTAAAAAACAGTTATGGCTCCTATTTATTTGGGATCAACTTCAGGGTTTTCGACGAAAACACTTGTGAAATTTGTTGCGGATCAATGTGGCGGAAGTGATTCCAAATTAATATAACTCAGTTGTTTAGGGAGAGAACGAGAACGACATCCGGCCGCCATTTACAGATCCATCCTTCACTCGCGCTTATACGTGCCTTTACATTCTTCTCAGTTGGTTTGAATAGGTATTTTTGTTTTCATAGTCTGATCCAATTATTCTTATGTTTAATTCCCCAGGTTCGTGGACGACACAAACGTGTACCGCGTGACGATCCACAAGACATTCGAAGGCAACTTGACCACTAAGCCCATCAACGGCGCTATCTTCATATTCAACCCGCGCACCGGGCAGCTCTTCCTCAAGATCATCCACACCAGCGTGTGGGCCGGACAGAAGCGTCTGGGACAGGTACAGTACATCATCATCATCATCATCTTCATATTCAACCCGCGCACCGGGCAGCTCTTCCTCAAGATCATCCACACCAGCGTGTGGGCCGGACAGAAGCGTCTGGGACAGGTACAGTACATCATCATCATCATCATCATCATCATATTCAACCCGCGCACCGGGCAGCTCTTCCTCAAGATCATCCACACCAGCGTGTGGGCCGGACAGAAGCGTCTGGGACAGGTACAGTACATCATCATCATCATCATCATCATCATCTTCATATTCAACCCGCGCACCGGGCAGCTCTTCCTCAAGATCATCCACACCAGCGTGTGGGCCGGACAGAAGCGTCTGGGACAGGTACAGTACATCATCATCATCATCATATTCAACCCGCGCACCGGGCAGCTCTTCCTCAAGATCATCCACACCAGCGTGTGGGCCGGACAGAAGCGTCTGGGACAGGTACAGTACATCATCATCATCATCATCATCATCTTCATATTCAACCCGCGCACCGGGCAGCTCTTCCTCAAGATCATCCACACCAGCGTGTGGGCCGGACAGAAGCGTCTGGGACAGGTACAGTACATCATCATCATCATCATCTTCATATTCAACCCGCGCACCGGGCAGCTCTTCCTCAAGATCATCCACACCAGCGTGTGGGCCGGACAGAAGCGTCTGGGACAGGTACAGTACATCATCATCATCATCATCATCATCTTCATATTCAACCCGCGCACCGGGCAGCTCTTCCTCAAGATCATCCACACCAGCGTGTGGGCCGGACAGAAGCGTCTGGGACAGGTACAGTACATCATCATCATCATCATCATCATCTTCATATTCACCCGCGCACCGGGCAGCTCTTCCTCAAGATCATCCACACCAGCGTGTGGGCCGGACAGAAGCGTCTGGGACAGGTACAGTACATCATCATCATCATCATCATCTTCATATTCAACCCGCGCACCGGGCAGCTCTTCCTCAAGATCATCCACACCAGCGTGTGGGCCGGACAGAAGCGTCTGGGACAGGTACAGTACATCATCATCATCATCATCTTCATATTCAACCCGCGCACCGGGCAGCTCTTCCTCAAGATCATCCACACCAGCGTGTGGGCCGGACAGAAGCGTCTGGGACAGGTACTGTACATCATCATCATCATCATCATCATCATATTCAACCCGCGCACCGGGCAGCTCTTCCTCAAGATCATCCACACCAGCGTGTGGGCCGGACAGAAGCGTCTGGGACAGGTACAGTACATCATCATCATCATCATCTTCATATTCAACCCGCGCACCGGGCAGCTCTTCCTCAAGATCATCCACACCAGCGTGTGGGCCGGACAGAAGCGTCTGGGACAGGTACAGTACATCATCATCATCATCATCATCATCTTCATATTCAACCCGCGCACCGGGCAGCTCTTCCTCAAGATCATCTACACCAGCGTGTGGGCCGGACAGAAGCGTCTGGGACAGGTACAGTACATCATCATCATCATCATCATCATCATATTCAACCCGCGCACCGGGCAGCTCTTCCTCAAGATCATCCACACCAGCGTGTGGGCCGGACAGAAGCGTCTGGGACAGGTACAGTACATCATCATCATCATCATCTTCATATTCAACCCGCGCACCGGGCAGCTCTTCCTCAAGATCATCCACACCAGCGTGTGGGCCGGACAGAAGCGTCTGGGACAGGTACGATTCGACAAGCAGCACTAATACATACACACAAATATCGCGCTTGTATTCCTTGCACCATAATCGGTTATTTTGGCTGCATTTGACAAACGTTCAATCATTATACATAATTCCAGCAATAATTATAA